AGAATGTAGTGACCGACAATGCCATAAAATCCGTGGCACAAGAACACAGAGAGAACACGTCGGTTTGCCCGCGTGGTTCAAAAAGTGTGTTATTTATCAATCAAAACAAGTATACAAGGTTAATGTACAAGAATTGATTGTAATAGGAAAGGATTGTACAATGCAAGATAAGTAAATTTACAGGCGCTACAACCGTAATCAGCGGTAAACACTTGTGTTGTGCAGCTGGTTTTTGTACTACTTTTCGCAATGTGCTAGCCTCAAAACGCTGTTTCTTGTTTTGAGATTTACACAGATCGAATATAGCGCATAAAATTTTGGTTACATTTTTTGTTAAGCTGTATTTTTCTAGGTAAGTACGCCGCCTTAGTATGTCACTTAATAAAAGCGATGCATTTTTATTTGCATATTTAGTAATTCTTTTTAACCTATTCATGTTCCCTATAATTCCGCCGCTCTTATTTCTTTTCTTGTGCGCACCAGCATTTTTAATGACCAAGAATGCCGAAATAGTCAGAACATTTATAGTGAAGTTGTAGTGAATTGGATCCTGTTTCCAAAGAAAGGCTACGCAATAACGGCTCTGCGGAACCTTCACAAAATTAAATTCAAGAAGCTCAATATCGCCTTAAGGAACCAGAAGAATTTCAAGGCGGGCGTCTACGACCCCATCAGCTGTACACCAAACAATGCCAATGCATACATAATTGCAAAAAGGGAATATAACCTCACCTATTCCTGCTTCCATGCAAGTGTACAGCATTAAGATAAACAGCGATCTTGGAGCGCTTGTACATATCTCTTTCCAATTGTACTTTCCTATTCTCATTTCCATTATATTGCGCAGTTTTGTTTTAACTGACCAAAAACCAAAAAAGACCTTTTCGGGTTTGGATGCGCTCTCTGGTTACAGCTACGTCTGTTTTGCTGTTGATCGTCGTTGGTCTGGCAGCCTCGTCCATTGATCATCGGATCTAACGCGTCGATTTATCGTGCCGACTAAGTTTCGTCTTCCGACCAGATTGTGCGACTAACTGACGGCCTACCGAGGGTCGTGCTTTACCTAAGGTCAGATCCAGCATTCTTATTTATAGACGGAGATTTCTATTATGTACTTAAGCTCTTTCCGTTTGGCCTTTCTACTACAATCGGATCTCTTAAGGGCGCAGCCTCTAGTCAGTCTAAAAGTATACCTATTTATTTATTTACAACTCCATCCGATTCTGCATCTCCTGGTTTCACCAGGGACAGGCTTACAAAAGGTAACTAAAAAGGTAACTTTGGGTTACGGTCGGGTAGCAACTGGTTGCTGTTGAAACTGAACCTTAGCTGGTTAAGTTGGTTGCCTGTGTTTGCCTCTGGCCAAACTTCCTGATTATGAGTGATTTTAACTTCCCCTGAACACGATGTCCTAAGGATAAGCTTCTCGCTGGACGCTATGAAAATGAGGCGCAGTGTGCGGAGGTGGCAGTTGCATGTGAGGCAGCACAACATAGCTGTTAACCGACGCGCGTTACAGAGCATTCCGCTCAATCTGGCCTGGGCCTACTACAAACGAGTTACGAGCAACAAGTACATGAAATTCAGGTCCTGGAGTCTATGGCAGCTGGTGAAAAGTCGATTGTGTTAGCCAGCCTGGAGCTGTCGCAGCCCTACTCGCGTCTGCCGGAGCCGTCATACTAATTGTTAACGGCCGAATTCGGTGGTCTAATTCGAGCGCCAGTGAAGTGGCCCGCTCGCTGCGACATGTTTCGTCTGTTGAAACTTTTTGGTCAAGTAGAAAAAGGGTGTTCAATCGTGTGCTTGTTTCGTACCCCAAAATTATCAGCAAGCTAGACCCGTAAGGTTTCATTGGTTCGATAGTGCGTTTAAACAAGGCTCAACGGTGATTTGTATTGTGGAATAGCTTCCTCGTGACGGGCTCCGCCTACAATTAGGAGGCGTACAAAACTCAACGGAAGTTAAGCAACAACGCAAAAGCTCAAAAGCTTCCGCATTTTGAAGAGGAGCCTGCAACCTCAGCGAAGACGACAACCAAGAAGAGTTGTGCTTACCTGAAGCGGCATCTGACGCTCAAACTTGACGTATCTGTGTTAGAGGGCACTGACGACAGCCTCTGACATCCAGCACTGAACGTGCGTCCGCACTGGCGGAGTATTTGGCTTGCGAATTTTCAAATGGGCATGCGCCTATGCTGGGCTTTACGTATGTACCCCGTTCTGAACTCGAGGGTCTGGCTTGCGGGGTTGAAGACGTCCACAATCCATTTGCCAGTCCGTGACGGCACGAAACCTGCCGGACCCCATGGACCCACCTACTAATTTTAATCTGCTTATCGGCCAACGTCACGCCTGCCGTGGCCAATCTGTTCAACAGACCACCAGCTGAAACTGCATTGCCGAACTACTAGAAATGTTCGGTAGTTAATCCGTTTCCAAAAAGCAGTGTCTCACGCAACGTGGACAAATACCGGTCGATTTGTCTGCCCAATGTTTTGGCATACTTGTTCAAGTAGATTGTATAAAAGGGTCATCTCCAGCTGCTGGGTTGGAATAACCTCCTAACGCCGTCACATAACGGCTTTATGAAGGTCCTCTGGTGCAGCGCGAAACTGCGGTTGGGGCGGCAAGAATGGTTACAAGCATTGAACTG